GAGCATCCCTGCATCCTACAGCGCCGAGCATCCCTGCATCCCTACCGTATTCAGCGCCGAGCATCCCTGCATCCATACCGTATACAGCGCCGAGCATCCCTGCATCCATACCGCATACAGCGCCGAGCATCCCTGCATCCATACCGTATACAGCGCCGAGCATCCCTGCATCCATACCGTACACAGCGGCGAGCATCCCTGCATCCATACCGTATACAGCGGCGAGCATCCCCGCATCCATACCGTATACAGCGCCGAGCATCCCTGCATCCATACTGTATACAGCACCGAGCATTCCTGCATCCATACTGTATTCAGCATCCCTGTATTACTCATATACAGCATACCTGTATAACACTATATACAGCATCCCTGCATTACACTATATACAGCATCCCTGTATTACACGTATACAGCATCCCTGTGTAACACTATATACAGCGCTGAACATCCCTTCATTACACTATATACAGCACCCCTGAATCACACTATATACAGCATCCCTGCATTAAACTATACACAGCACCCCTGTATAACACTATATACAGCATCCCTGTATAACACTATATACAGCATCCCTGCATTACACTATACACAGCACCCCTGTATCACACTATATACAGCATCCCTGCATTACACTATATACAGAATCCCTGTATTACCCATATACAGCATCCCTGTATTACACTATATACTGCATCCCTGTATTACACTATATACAGCATCCCTGTATTACACTATATACAGCATTCATACAATACACTATACACAGCGCCGGGCATCCCTCTATTCATACAACACACTATAAACAGTACAGAACATCCCTACAACACACTGTACACAGCATTCCTACAGTACAATACTTATGGCCATCTATTACTGTCTGCCACTTACTGCAATCTTTTACTGCTTGCCACTTACTGGCATGTTTTACTGCCTGCCATTTACTGCCATCTTTTGCTGACTGCCACTTACTGACAACTTTTACTGCCTGCCACTTACTGCCACGTATTACTGACTGCCACTTACTGCCATTTATTACTGTCTGCCACTTACTGCCATCTATTACTTACTGTCATGTATTACTGACTGCCACTTACTGCCATCTATTACTGTCTGCCACTTGCTGCTTTCTATTACTGATTGTCACTTACTGCTATCTATTACTGCCAGCTACTTACTGTCATCTTTTACTGCCTGACAATTACTGCCATCTTTTACATACTGCCATCTATTACTGACTGCCACTTACTGTCATCTTTTACTGCCTGCCACTCACTGCCATCTATTACCACCTGCCACTTCCTGCCATCTTTTACTGACTGCCACTTACTGTCTTCCACTTACTGCCATCTATTACTGACTGCCAGTCACTACCATCTATTACTGACTGCCACTTACCGTCTGCCACTTTCTGCCATCTATTACTGACTGCCACTTTCTGCCATCTATTAGCGACTGTCACTGCCATCAATTACTGACTGTCACTTACTGCCATCAATTACTGACTGCCACTTACTGCCATCAATTACTGACTGCCACTTACTGCCATCTATTACTGACTGCCACTTACTGTCATGTATTACTGCTTGACACTTACTGGTATTTATTGCTGCCTGCCATATATTACTGACTGCCACTTACTGCCATCTATTACTGCAATCTATTACTGACTGCCACTTACTGCCATCTATTACTGCAATCTATTACTGACTGCCACTTACTGCCATATATTACTGACTGCCACTTACTGTCTGCCACTTACTGCCATCTATTACTGACAGCTACTTACTGCCTCTACTTACTGTGCTGTGATTTGTCAGTGTGTGCATGCACAATATGGGGTTTACAACAAAATTAAAGTTTTTTTTTTGTTTTTTTTTCATCTTTACATTTATTTGCATTTTGCTTACTGCAGTGTATGTAATTTCTGCTTTGAGCTTTATTTAGGTGGTAGCGGTCCTTTAAAAGAGTAATTACTGCTTGACACTTACTGCCATCTATTACTACTTGCCACATTCTAATACAGTATTGCTTTTTTATAAAATGTGTATCACCCTCCCCCTTTTCTTACTATAATATATCATAGCCATGTATTAGAGACCCCATCCCCCCTGTTCTAATTAGTTCATTTCCATGCACCCCCTCTTTAATCACTATATTATTGATATGTATTAGATACCCTCTATTCCCCTGTTTAGATACATTGTTTCCATGTATTAGATGACTGGTACCTTGCCTCCTGTTCTTACATTATGTGCCTCCCCCCCCCCCCCTTCCCTTCCCATTGCCATTTTTAGCTGTCTGTGCACCCTATGCTGAGCTGCTTTTATCTGGAAGGGGTGCTTGTATAGCAGCAGATGTTGGAGGTTCTTTGAAAGAATGAAAGCACACAATACATCAGGGAAGATCCTTTGCTCTGCTATTTTCCCACCCAGATTTCTCACATACCTTCAGTGTCTGTGGTTACTCATTTGGCTGCCAGGAGTTTAGAGAACTGCAACATATTGCAGCACATGGGATTAACTGTGAGATTGAGGGCATTGTGAGTGCAGGTGGCCCTTTAATCAGGGACGCTTATTATAGATACATGATGCAGGGCCACAATGATGCTAACGCAGGCCCTGCAGTATCATTGGTCAATAAACAATGTATGGAAAAATGTTGGATGTATTTGTTGTACAGACTAAACTGTTACCGCCAGCCTGGCTGTGGCGAAATATTTAACCCCCTATGGGGGCAATAGGTGTGCTGGTTGTTGATTTGTTGATATTTGTAAAAAGGTATACACTAGATGTGTCACACATCAAGAACATGCACACTATGGACTTTGACCCACACCGGTCAGTCCTGGGTAGCAAGGTATTTCAATTTCATTACATTCAGGAAAGAGAGATGATAAGGACCCACACACATAATATTATTCGTTTTTAAAGTATATGGTGTTTTTTACAGAAATGTAGTTATCGTTCACTAAGCAGCAATGTGTTGCCAATTCAGAGCGGAATTCGCCAAACGGAGACATATACACAGACGAGGTGAAAAAAGAGAGTCCAACTCCTAATTCTTCACATCAGCTGTTTTAACCTAAATTTCCTGATTCTTCGGTTGTCTGCTTGGTGAAAAATGCACTTGGACAGAGGGGTTAATTATCAGCTGTTGATTAACTGCAATGCCCATCATGCACTGCTAGCCAAATGCTGTCTAAGGGTAATGTGAGTTTATATCGGCGGCTTATTGTTAAGCTAGGTAGTTGCTTTGAATTGAGCATCATGCTAAAAGAGAGTTATCTACCTCTCAATGGTACCACCCTGCACAAGGCCTTCTTCAGCCCTGGCAATTGGCCTATAGTTAATGGTGCAATGCCAAAGTAAAATGATACATCACTTTATTATAGCACTGCTTAGTCAGCATAGCCATTCAACTCTACAGTAAAGCAGATAAATAAATCATACAGGATCTGGATCTGAAAAATACCCTATAGTTACATTTCAGATCGCGTTTAATAAATTATAACA